CTATATGCAGACTAAACCGTATGTTATTGTAATACATATTTTTTTTTCTCTCATTTATTCTTTGTTATTTTATGAGAAATGAATAGAGGCATTTTGTGCGTCTTTACAAGAGATTTTACGGTATGCATAAAAATTTTCATTTCAACCCAATACATTTCAAGAATATATTTCACTTGCATAAATAACATTTCAAATTAAGGTATATTGATTGCCATATAATAGATAATTATGTAAAATTAATAGAGGGGGTAATCCTTACAAACAACAACAGCAGTGACTGGCGTGCGAGGGTTTGTTGGCCCGGGACTCGTAGCGCCTCTAGTGGCCACCGCGGGAGAACAAGTTCCCCATTAATCTTGCTAAAAGTGTCACATTTCTGTAAATATAGCTACCGAATCTTAACCAGAGTTTGAACTTTAAACGAATGTCTGAAAAGACTAGAACTTAGGCACGATTACTTTTTTTTTTAATTACAAATATCTCCATTTTAACAAAGGTCGTGTCATTATTTCCTTACCAAGAAATTAGTAAGTTTTGGAAAGAAATAAACACGAAGCCTAATATGTCATTCAATTCGTTACTTTTCACCAATTTTGAGGAAATTCACCCCCACCTTCCATCAGTATCCCTGAACAAAGGCGAATCGAAAACCAAAGTTAACGTTATAAAGTTTTTCCTCACAAAACTGAAACAGATAGTTAATACTTAAACAAAATCATGACGTTAGCTGTCACATGACATTTTCAGTCATGAGTTAAAACATATTAGTCTCATGAAAGTATAAATCTCGATTTTCAAAATTTTCTTTTAGTTTTTATTTTGTTAAGTTTGTTTTAAGTTAAGCACAAAGCTACACAATGGGCTATCTGTGCTCTGCCCACCACGGGTATCGAAACCAGGATTTTAGCGTTATAAGTCCGAAGACATACCGCTGTGCTACTGGGGGAGCTTCAACCATTAGTATATTTCTTGTCTCTGTTCTAAACTAGGGAATTGTTATCTCTACATTTGTCTCGGTTTTGATAACAAATGTGTTACCAGGCTTACTTGTGTCACAACTCTAACAGTTCATGTTATATACTATGTTGCGGAACAGTTGAGTTTTAAGTGTGTAAACTTATAATAATCTTAGGCCTATTCTTAACGACTTTCAAACTTCTTTCGATCTAAAATTATTCTAAGTTTACACATTTAAAACTGAACCATTTAACAATATAATCTTTTGTTTCTGTTTACCACTTGACTTATTAATTAAGTAAACTAGTGATTAATGATACTATAATTGTAGTTAATAAGTATCCTTGTAACACCACTGTGAGATGGATTCCGAAACGTTTGAACTTTCTGTAAATTAAATGTTTTGTGTTTGTTCAACAGCATTTATCTTTAGTATTAAATAAAGGAAGCACTTTGAGTATAGAGAAATCAGTTAAAACTATACACTGTTACGTCAATCATGGAAATATTCAACATGAACTGTTAGAGTTGTGACACAAGTAAGCCTGGTAACACATTCGTTACGTCAATCATGGTAATATTCAACATGAACTGTTAGGGTTGTGACACAGATAAGCCTGATGACACATATATTACGTCAATCATGGAAATATTCAACATGAACTGTTAGAGTTGTGACACAGATAAGCCTGATAACACATATATTACGTTATCTGTGTCACAACTCTAACAGTTCATGTTGAATATTTCCATGATTAAAGTCTAGCAACACATATATTAC